ATATATATATATATATATATATATATATATGCAATCCATAAAAGTAAACAGCATATTTGCTTTCATTCCATGCCCAAGTTAGATGTGTGTGTATCAGGAGGCCCTCAGATTTCTTTTGTTGTCCCCTTATAGTATTCTTTATAGGAACTAGAAGCTGTGACTGGACTGGACTTTAAAGACAAAAAATAAATATTAGCTTTAAAATCGTGTCATACATCTGTTTGTCATTCTTGGGTGTTTGAGTGCAAACAGAATACCTGGTTGTCCACCAGGGTTTTGACACTGAAAGCTCAGCTCCACTGCTGTGTCCTTGTTAGCGTGACATTTTAAGTAATTTATATTAAAAAAAGAAACAAAATGCTAATCAAATGTTTTTCCTAATGCCAACAGATAAAAAAAAATCATACAAAACAGGGGACAAATAACGTAGCTTGTGCTTCTTATGCTTGAAATTAATTTTGCAGAATTGCATATTTGAATTTTAAAAGAAGAATCATACATTTTCTTATTGATATAAGGAAAACCTATGACAATAAAACTTTAGTGCTTGTAGGTAATATGGTAAACTTAATAAAAACAAATCTTTGCAGTAGAAGGTTCAATTAGATTCATGACACAATTCCTGGATTTTTACATAATATAAAGATTTTTATGATCATATTTGCAAATTAAATTGCAATCATTCGCAATTTAAAGTCAGACATAAATTACCTCCAACTGAACTATAAACCTTGATTATTAAATAGCTGCCTTATTGTATTTTAAATTATTTGTTTTCCAATTGTCAAAGCAGAGCGATTTGTTCTTAAACAGCATGTCTCTATTATACCAAAGGCTATATTTGTGAGGAGAATAGTTCTGCTTGTAAATCAATAACCAGGACAGCAAACAGTGTTTGTGGAATGTGCACAGATTGATTTGAATGTTTTCAGGGATAAAGTTAAAGAGCTTAGAAAAATAGAGACTAACCAACTGAAAGAATATGATTAGAAATAACATTTGATGTTAAAGAGTAGGGAAGGATATTTGTTTTTCTTTTCATCTGACTTTTATTGTATTGTCTAAGATGAAATACAGGACATCAAATCCACTATTATCATAAAGGTTTATTAAAATACATTTACTTAATGAATGTATTTTGTGCTTCCATAGAAATCTGAATAACATTTGATCAATGCTTTTGCAGGAGGATGTGAGTGCAGAGAGAGGACAGGACAGGCATACTAAATGAGAGAGGCCCTCAGCGCTAAAAAGCCATTTGATCTTTTTTTTTTTAGATCAAATGATTTTTTTTTCTCTTTTCATACATTAAATCTAAACTGCTGTTTGATGTTGAAAGATTTATTTTCCTCCTGATCAGAAACGGGGAATTTCTTAAGCTAAAAGTTATGGTGTCCTTTGCCCTTTTCTTTACTTTGATATATCACTGATAGATTTAATTTTATTTTTTTCTAATTTCCAAAGCTCACAATTAAAAATAAATGTTGTCATCATTACCTTTAAACCTCCATCTTTAAAATTAAGATTTAAGAGCAACAATATGATATCTCTAAGAATGAGTAATGTTTCCAAAACATCATCTGTGTTGAGATTTGATAAGAAATGGATGGCACAAAGATCTGTTAGAGGAGTGAAAGACGCAACTATAGGATATAGGTTAGTTTTATCATTCCATACTATGAAAGGTGTAATATCTGAGTGGGGAAGGTCTTTCTCTATGTATATTAGACAAATATGTTCCATTAAGTAATGTTAATATCCTTTAAGACGGCCATTTTGGCCATCTTTTAAGTGATCAAAGGGAGTTTTTCCTCTCCACTGTCGCTACAAGCATGCTTAGTGAGAGAAATTGCCTTCGATTCAATGAGTCGATGCAATCGACTGGTTTTCCTTAGATAAAGAACTTTGAATCAATTTGGCTGTATGATCTGGTGAACTGTAAAGTGCCTTGAGATGACATGTGTTGTGAATTGGTGCTATATAAATAAACTGAATTGAAATTGAATTGATCAATCAAATACTCAGTTCAAATGGACAAACTTCAGTAAAAGTGTTCGTCATTAAGGAATTTCTCCCTGACTGATTCTGTCTCAAAGGAGACCAGAGATGATCATTTTTGAAACCAGGTTCTGGTGTGGAAAGATCTGAAAACATTGGCTTTATGTGTCCATGTAGACATGCAGAACGTGTTTTCTGAAACGACTAGCTTTAAGCTGTCTCTGTGACCCTCATGCACCACTCTGCCGCCATGCTGCTGCGTTTACCTTGCATGACTTGTCTTTGTTTGTGTCTCTGGGGTCAGTGTCACACAGATGGGTGCCCCATATGTAACTCAGCCTTTTCAGTGGTGCTGATTTAAATCATTTCGACAAACATTTTCATCCATATTCTAACTAACTTTTCCATCGGTATCCCAAAGGACCGGTTTCTGTTGGGATCTGGAGGCTTGTCTAACTTTCTCCACCAGAGGGCGCCTGAGATCTTCCTCCTGAGGGCGTGAGCTGACTTCGACACACCTGGTTTCCATCTGCTCATCATGAGGCATACTTAAGGAGGAGGAGGCTGACACTTCACTGCCAGTGTTTGCCAGTAATGGTACCAGCAAAACCTGAGCCAGCTTCTCTGATCAGTTCTCTGAATTTTTGTGAACTAGTCTGACCCAGTTTTCTTCTGCCTCTCAGATCCTGACTAATCTGGAAACCTGCCTGACCCTGGAGTAAACAATCGCTTCCTGGAACCTGCCTGTCTGTCCTCCGCCTCAGTCTCAGTCTCTGCCTTCAGCCTGCCGGCCAGCCTCCAGACCCAAAAGGGTCCACCCCTGCTGATCTGATTCTCTTCTGAGCAGGTA